TTTAAATATGCGGATTATACATGCCCAATAAAAATTAAAATTGCACAGAAACTATAAATTGAAAAGTACCTCATCCCCAAAGCTAACCATTGTTAATGGTTATTGGTTAATGGTTAATGGTATTCTGTGTATGTTTTCCCAGGACACTACCAGTCACATAGTAGCATTTAATAAACAATTGTTTAGTGAATATGTAAGCTATTTAAACACTTATGGGTTCACATGAATTTGCTCCTTAGCCTTTTCCGTTAAGATAGTTTGGATCTTTCCATATCAGCTTATTTTTTAACAGCCTAATAGTTTCCATTGTATGGATGCACCCCAATTTACCTAACTGTCCCTATTGTTGTATAGTACATGTGTATATATGTGTCTGTGTATATGTGCATACAGTAAGTAATGCTGCAGAGAACATTTCATATCTTCATGTATTTTTATAATTCCAGCTTAAATACTACATACTGGAATTGATCTGTCAAAGAGCATGTGCATTTAAAAAATTTTTTTAAAAGATTTTATTTATTTATTTGCCAGAGAGAGAGAAAGAGAGAGCGCGCACAGGCAGGCTGAGTGGCAGCAGAGGCAGAGGGAGAAGCAGGCTCCCCGCCGAGCAAGGAGCCCGATGTGGGACTCGATCCCAGGACACTGGGTTCATGACCTGAGCCGAAGGCAGCTGCTTAACCAAATGAACCACCCAGGCGTCCCTGCATTTAAAATTTTATATACAGCTCCCCTATTAATTTTTAAGGTACTGCTGTTTAAAAGTAAAAGAAAAATCTAACTGAAAAAAATCCAGAAAAATGTGAGCATGGCTGTTCACAAAATTAGAATTATAAATGACCAATTCACATGCAAGTAGATGTTCAACTTTGATAGCAAAAGTATTCTTTTATTTTTTCAAGACCCCATTCATTTGAGAGATAGAGAGCAGGAGCAGAGAAAGGAGCAGAGGGAGAGGGACAGACTCCCTGCTGAGCAGAGCACAAGACATAGAGCTCAATCCTAGGACCCTGGGAGCATGACCTGAGCCAAAGGCAGACACTTAACCGACTGAGCCACCTAGAAGCCCCATAAGTATTATTTTAAAATTGCTTTAAAAAAGGGACTCATCTCATATGCACCAGATTGTCAAATTTGCAAAAGAATAATTTCCATGTTTGATATGGTTATGGAAAAATGGGCATTTTCACAGACTGCTAACAGAAGGCACAGATTAGGATAACCTTTCTGGAGGGCAATTTGGCAAATGAATCCAAAGCCTTAGAAAATGTGCCTACCCCATAGTCCCATTCATTCTAGTTTTAGGAAATGAGTGAAGGAAAAGAGTTCTACAAAGTGAGCAAAGCTCTTATGTCCGAGGATGTTCACTGGAATGTTTGTGGTGACAAACTATAAACGACTAACAATGGGAAAATATACCATAGAATCATCTCCGGGACGCCTGGGTGGCTCAGTCAGTTAAGCAGCTATCTTCGGCCCAGGTCATCTCAGGGTCCTGAGGTCGAGCTCTACATCTGCTCCCTGCTCAGCCCGCAATCTGCTTCTCCCCCTCCCGCTGCTTGTACTCTTTTCCGCCCTCGCTCTGATCAATAAAATCTTTAAAATTTTTTTTTAATTAATGATCTTTCATGAAAACTTTTAGTTATCTGAGTGTCTTGATCAGGGACTTTTTTTTTTTTAATTGTTAGCAAGGTTCAGAAACCCAATCAAATGGACTTAAAAGAAATCTTTAGCAGAAGCAAACAAGGGTATTCCTTGGACTCCCGGGACCAGCTGGGAGTGTGGCCAACCTCAGCAGCAGGGCTGGAGTCGCTTCTCCTGAGTCTCTCTGGGCCTTCGTGGGTTCCAGCTTCAGGACTCCCTGCCTTCATTACTTCTCACTGGGCTGTTTTGTTTCCGTTTGGTTTTTATGTGACCACAAAAATGGTCCAGCTCTAGATTAGTTTCTTGTTCAAATGTCTAACAGAGACCAACCAGAGTCTGTGACCCGGTATCAACCATGTAGAGGTATCCAGATGACCAAGTCCGGCTTAGGGGTTCCTCACCCGAATCCAGTCCTCAGTGGTCAGAGAAGGGTTACATGGCAACTGCTCACCCAGATCATGGCAGAACTGGTCTAGAATGGACTGAGCAGATAGGCAAATGGACTGTCCTTCTCTTTTACAAGTCAAAACTGTTCATGAAATCCAGTAGAAAAGTAAAGTGTTTTTATGCATAAAAAAGATCAGTATCTCAAAATACATTATTAAGGGATTCTATCTGGACCACGAAGCAGAATGATTTGCTTTCTTTACATTTTTCAAGGTTTTTACAAAATATATGAATTTCTATCATAAACAAGAGTTAATTTATTAAGAATTTATGAAGATAAAACATGGACAATTATGTGAAAAATTAAGCAGAAATTATCAGTACTTACTAACCACCATTTGAGAGAGAGAGAGAGAGAGAGCATGTGTGTGTGTGCGCATTAAACAGTGATTATTTCTGACAGGTGAAAATTTAGGGTGCTTTATTTTTCTGTTTTTCCATACTATATTATAATGGCACCTTACTAATAACTTTATGTTTTTTAAACAGAAAGTGAGCAGGAAATGAAGACACACAAGGACCATCTTTCCTGAACATTACAGGATACTATCCCAACAGAAAAGCCAATCAGTAGGATACCTTGTGACACAGCTCATGCCTCCCGGTTGCTGCCCTCCCAACAGACTTTCGGCTTTCCTTCTAGAGCATCTAACATGGGTTGCATCACAAGCAAAACCTTCATCAAGATCTGCTATAACATTTTGCCCTCTGCTCAATGTTCCTATAACCTTCAAGAATAGAGAAGAAAGCATGTTATTAAAATATACCCGTATCCAGGGGCACCTGCTCTTGATTTCAGCTCAGCTCATGATCTCCGGGTCCTGGGTGTGGAGCCTGCTTGAGATTCTCTTGCCCCCCTCCTTCTTCCCCACCCCGTCCCCATGCTCACATTCAAAAAAATTAAAAAATAAAATATACCTGTTTCCAACACTTAACGTTCAAGTGGCTATGGGTATGCCCCCAGGGTACTGACGAGAACACCACTGACTTTGGGACTGTGTGAGGGATTAGGTTGGTTAAGGTGTCCATGAATTTAGAACACTTACAAATGCATGTACTACAGAATCATCATAAAGCAAGCTAAATTTTTCAGATATTTAAGAATATATCACTCTCGGGAGCCTGGGTGACTCAGTTGGTTAAGCAACTGCCTTCGGCTCAGGTCATGATCCCGGAGTCCCAGGATCAAGTCCCACATTGGGGTCCCTGCTCCACAGGAAGTCTGCTTCTCCCTCTAACCTTCTCCCCTCTTATGATCTCTCTCTCACGCTTTCTCAAATAAGTAAATAAAATCTTAAAAAAAAAAAAAAGTGTATCACTCTCATACTTTAACTCGTCACTGTCATTGCTTTTTCATGAGAATAAAAAAGACATTCTTTGTTCTTTATTCTCTGTTCCCTTCTTAAAAGGAACAGAATCAAACAGAATTGAACTATGATACAGAGATGAGTGCTTAGGTACTGACCTCAGCACAGCTGTCAAAACACTTGGGGAGAAAATCCCTGATAGCCACTTAATTTTACCCATCAAGGCAGAATGAAAGACAGCTTTACGAATTCCTAAGAAATCGAACATTACTGTTGCCATGGATTCTTCAAAATTTCCTCAAAAAGTTGCCCTGCTTCTCCCACATATTTGGTCCTCCGCCATGAAATGGCATTAACGGTGGCAGCCGGTCAGACTACACGCAGCCAGATGCAGATGGGAAGTGGGTCAAGACTGAAAAGTGCCTGTTCCAGCCTTCATGTTTCCCCTTCTTCTTGGTGACAGAACCTTAGTTTCCGGCCAGGCACACCACAAACCACAAGACACTCTCCAGACTCCTTCCCAAGTTTTATTCTGCAGTGTATGTGCTGAACTGATTTCTGGGAGGCTGTGCATGGAGAGCTGGCTGAACTGCGAGGAACTTTTTTCCTTCTGTCTCTGTCTGCATTTTGCTTGCGATGGCTGGAGCTTCGGCAGCCACCAAGGATCATGTGACAACCTCAGGACTGGTGGTGCGCACTAGGAGGTTAACAGAAAAGCAGAGGCATGGTCCTTAGTGGTGTCATGGAACCACTTTATCAGTCCTGGACTGCTTGTCACCGGATTTTTCTGAGAGAAAAACTAGCTTTTGTAAAGTCACTCCTCCCTTGTTTCTAAACTATATGCAGCTGAACCAAATCCTCAGCAATACCCGAGGGTTCATTCCCAAAGTAGACTGTGACACTTTTTCCAGACACAATACCCTATACAGCTACTGGCAATCAGCAAGCAATGACGGTTCAAGGGCGGACTTCCCCTAAGCTCAATGTTCTTCATCATTACCATGACACTTTGGTATTCACAGTATAAAAATCATGATCTCCTCCTAGCTGACTTTATTATTTGACTTCCAAAGAATTCCAGAACAAGCAACTAAAAATCATATTATCAGGGGCATCTGGGTGGCACAGTCGGTTAAGCATCTGACTCTTGATTTTGGTTCAGGTCATGATCGCAGGGTCCTAGGATCAAGCCCAGTGTTGGGCTCTGTGCTCAACAGAGAATCTGCTCTCTCCCTTTCCCTTTGCCCTCCCCCCAACTCATGCTCTCAATCTCTCTCAAATAAATAAATAAAATCTTTAAAAAATAAATAAAAAATAAAATTGCATTATCAGCCTTAATGGAAAAAAGTCTAATCTCTTTCCCCACTTACTAAACAGTCTGTGCAGGAGCCACTAACCTGGCACTGGAGTTACCGAGCGAGACAGCTGCTGCTTGATTTAACTCAGCACTATTCGTTCAAATAACTTATGAAATCTCTTCCACACTTTAAATAAAATCTTGATTTCTAACTTGAATCAGTGAAGTATTGTGACAAGAATGGGGTGGGAAGTGGTCGAATTAAATTTTCTTTGCTTTCTAAAATGCTTCTGCTGACTGGGAAGGTGGGGGGATACCCGCAGGGGTGGTTAGTAAAGCCAGTGGGGGAAAATGCCAACCTTAACCTGCACTTTAAGATCCCTTTGAGAGTGGGATATTTCCAAACATCTTTAGTTTTACTTTATAACTGTTGCTGTAGCAGATGCAAACGTATCGACCTGTTCTTGCTCCGTTCAAGCCTATAAATCCATAGGTTCGTGGCTGACTCACTGCTGACTTCAAAGTCCTCACCCATCATGAGGGTCTCTACTACTTGGAGGTCTGCAATCATACATTTACCAAGTTAAAGGCTCAGAGAAGTCCCACAGTGAAGAATGCTGTTCTGCTTGTTCCCATAGTCCCAACAAGGGTCAAATAATTGTGCTCTGCAGCTGAGCACACGTGAAGGGGCAGAGCCTCCTGCTTGGCCCCTGGAGTTCTCGGAGGCTCGAACCGGCTGGAGTGACTCTTCCTAAAGTGCTGCTTGCTTGTCAACGTACTGTCCCTGATGTTCCTGCAGAGAGGATGCCCCATCAAGGTGGACTGTGTTTGTGGTGATATCTCTGATGCTGAAAAAGCCCCGACCTCTGCCTGAAGGCTTCCCCACACTCACTACACTCATAGGGTTTTTCTTCATTGTGGATTCTCACGTGTTGGGCCAGGTGGGAGTTCAGTCGGAAGGCTTTCTGGCATATGGCACACTTAAAAGGCTTTTCTCCGGTGTGAATCCTGTGATGGCGGATGAGGTCTGAGGTCAAACCGAAGGCTTTCCCGCACTCGTTACAGCGATGGCTTCTGGAGTGGCTGTGGATTCTCTGGTGGTGCGTGAGGAAAAGGGCCTGACTGAAGGTCTTCCCACACTCCTTGCACTCACAGGGCTCCTCCTGGCTGTGAATTCTCTGGTGTCGGTTGAGGTGGGAGCTGCGCCTGAAGTTCTTCCCACAATGGATGCACAGGTAAGGTTTCTCTCCAGTATGGATCCTGAGGTGTTCCAAAAGGCCTGCATTCTGGCTAAAGACCTTTCCACACTCTTTGCACTGATAAGGCTTCTCACCAAGATGGATTTTCTGGTGTCTGACAAGGTGTGAGCTTCTCTGAAAGGCTTTCCCACACTCGTGACACTGATGACCCTTCTCTCTTGAGCAGACTTTCTGATGTACCACAGGCCTGGGACTCTGACAAGCCTCAGAGCCACAGAGCTTTCCTTCTGCGTGCGTCCCTTCGTGTCTAATCAGGTCTGAGCTCTGGGTGAAGCCCTCCCCGCATTCTGAGCATTTACACTCAGTCTTCTCCGTGGGCCTGACCTGCTGCTGTTCCAAGTTAGGGTCCTTAGGACCAGGTTCTACAGGTTCAGACACTTTCCCAGATGATTCCGCTCCTCCATGAGAGTCTGTCTGTACAGCCATCTTCCCATTCTCAGTCTTTGTCCCCTCACCTGAAACATGAAATATATACCACCAATTACTTGTTTTTTGATGCTTAGGGAAGGGAATCTGCATTTAGGAGGAATAAATTTAAATCAAGCCGTGTGTGCCAAGTGGAAATGCTGTGGAAGCACAGAACAGATACGCAGTGGCCCACAAGAAACTGTGAGCAGTGGTTGCTCGGGAGAGGATGGCGACCGTATGAGGAGGTGGCTTATCTTAAACGGTTTGAACTTGATCATATGACATACACACAGCACACAAAGTTAGCAAGCAAGCAAGCACAGTCTCAAAGGGCATGGCTGTACATTCTTTTTTTTTTTTTTTTAAAGATTTTATTTATTATTTACTTGACAGAGAGATCACCAGTAGGCAGAGAGGCAGGCAGGGGCGGGGGGGGCGGTGGAGGAAGCAGGCTCTCTGCCGAGCAGAGAGCACGATGCGGGACTCGATCCCAGGACCCTGAGATTATGACCTGAGCCGAAGGCAGAGGCTTAACCCACTGAGCCAACCAGATGCCCCAATGGCTGTACATTCTTGAAAACTGTTTTGGGGCAAAACGGTTTTGGGGCAAAACGATTTAAAAAAAAAAAAAAAAGAAAGAAAGAAAGAAAATGGTTTGTCAACCGGAGGTCATCTGAAGGCCCAGGGCCAGTAAGTAGGTTTTGGAAATGAAGAAATGCAGACACAGAGCCCATTTCATCACTGATTAGCTGTGTCATCTGAACCCTCTGGGCTCGGCGTCCTCACTGATAGATCAAAATCACTGGACCACAAAACCTTGAGATTAACATAAGTTCACAAAGATGTCTTGGACTTTCCTGATCTCTTCGGACAGCAGCAGCTGCCTTCCTGTGGGGCTCAACAGACACCGGGAATCTCGATGCTGTAATGGCTCACACGTCTGGTACGTGGAAGGCCACAAGCAACGTCTGACGAATAAAGCCAAAGCTCAGACACACAGGCACAGGTGGGGGAGTAGAAGGCCTTCCAAGGCCAGGAGCCTGAATGAGGACGCAAAGCTGGAGTGAGAGGAGGTCCTCAGCAGCACCCATGACAAGCTAGTGAGAGTTCAAGAGTGTGAGCCCCGTGAAGGCAGCAGACCAACCGTAAAGGGAGAGCACATGAGAGCCAAAGCGAACAGTGGGGGACTCGCCAGGAGAGGCCAGAGACCGTGAGTCCCATGCGGGGCACCTTGTGCACATCTTCCTGCAGCCGCCCACAGGGGTGGGAGGGCTTAAAGGAAGAGAGAGCCTTCTCCAGTGATGACCTAAAGACACAAACAACTAAAAAAAGGGGGCGGCTCTGAAACCCGAAAATGACTCGAACTTTGAGTGTAAAACAGCATTTTCAACAGACCCAGAGGGCAAGGGACAGTGTCAAGGATCTCCTATGACCACATTTCCTTGTCATACTTAAAATATATGCTCATCATGGGGCGCCTGGGGGGGCTCAGTCAGTTAAGTGTCTGCCTTCTGCTCAGGTCATGATCTCAGGTTCTGGAATCGAGCCCCTTGTCGGGCTCCCTGCTCAGCGGGGACCTGCTTCCCCTGATCCTCACCCCCCTCATGCTCTGGTGCTTTCTCTCAAATATATAAAAATCTTAAAAAAAAAAAAATGTAAGGGACAGAAACAAGAAAGAGGGATTTAAGCGACAATGAAAATACCATACAGGAAGAAACGAATCTAGGTGACATTTAGAAACAAAAGACAGTAATAATACTACAGTAACTTGAAGGAGACAAGAAAAAATGAGGACTGGTGCACTTGGCTGGGGTTCTCTGCCTTGGGTGAGACACTAGCAATCCTTGTCTAGTCACCCCTGTTGTAAAAGGGAGGAGGAGGAGATGAAGGACTGTATGGGAGAAGCTTTTGGTTTCAGCTGAACAGAAATCCCAAGGAAAGGACGGGGGGAAGCGTTTGGGCTGATGGGAATCTTCCAGATCTGGACTGTGGTGATTAGACAACTGAGTTTTGTCATGTTTGTGAAAACTCACTGACCAGGACACTCACAGAGTGAATTCTGCCGAGTGTAGATTAGGCCTTAATAAACCCAACTCAAGACAAACACAAAAGCCGGGCCTCCGCAGGGGACACCGAAGCGCGCCCGTCACATGTGGGAGGACGCCGCTGTTCCTTACCCTTCTCTTCTTCAGGCCCCGGAACGTCCCGCTCAGCCTGGACCTGCGGCTCCCGCACCGCTGCCACAGGGGCCGCCTCCTCTGCAAGCACCTTCTGCTTCTTTGCCTGGTCTGGGTCCTAGGGACAGTTATGTAGGGACAGTTAGGGACCTGAGGGCTTAGGAGGAAACTTTCAGAAACACTTCCCTGTGAGAAAAGAGTGAAGAGGAACCCGAGGGGGGATCAGCACGTTCAGTTCCTCGCAGCAGACAGCGGGAGAGGCTGACCTACGCTATGAGCCGCCAGACTGGGAAGAAATGGAACCACAGCTCAGCAGTTCTCCTGCTGCTGAACTCATGCCCCCTGCTCTGGCCCAAGGTCTCAGGTCCTGCCTCTCTGCAAAAGAGCCCATTCGCTCCTTACCACTCGCTGTCCTGCCTTCCCAAGCTCTGGCTGCAGGTGCTCCAGCACGACCACCACCTCGTCCCCGCTCTCCGGGCGGCGCTCCCGCACCCGGGCCTGCAGCTCCTCGGGCAGGATGGTCAGGAACTGCTCCAGCACCAGCAGCTCCACGATCTGCTCCTTGCTGTGCGTCTCGGGCCGCAGCCAGCGTCGGCAGAGCTCCCGCAGCCGGCTCAGCGCCTCGCGGGGCCCTGTGGTCTCTTCGTACCGCAACTGCCTGAACTGTTTGCATAGCGGCTCTTGTCCGAGGCCTGAGCTCTTTCGTGGTAGCCTGAACCCCTGTCCCCAAGTAGAGCAGCGATCCTCCTTCCCTGTCCGCGGCCCCTCCTTCTTCAGATTCAGAGGAGCTGGGGAGTGCGCATTCACCAGTGCCATTGCCATCCCCAGCATCAGCCTGCTTCCGCTCTGCCCCAGAGGGCTTCCTTTTCACTGTCTCCTCCTGCCAATGTGAAAACAAGAATCACAGGGGTGCCTGGGTGTCTCACTATTAAGCGTCTGCCTTCAGCTCAGGTCATGCACCAGGAGTCCTGGGACAGAACCCGGCATCAGGCTTGCTGCTTGGCAGGAAGCCTGCTTCTCCCTCTCCCACTCCTGCTCCCCCTACTTGTATTCCCTCTCTCGCTGTGTCTCTCTCTGGCAAATAAATAAATAAAATCTTAAAAACAAACAAACAAGCAAACAAACAAGAATCACAGAAACAGGTGGCTCAATTGGTGCAGCATCTGCCCTCGGCTCAGGTCATGATCCAGGGTGCTGGGATCAAGCCCCGCATCAGGATCCCTGCTCAGTGGGGTAGGCCTCTCCTTCGCCCTCTGCCCCCACCCCTATTGTGCACCCCACCTCAAATAAATAAATAAATAAATAAATCTTAAAAAAAAGAAAAGAATCACAGGAGCAGCAGTGATAACAGTAACTACAACAGTAATACACCTTTGCTGTACTCACACAATTCCAATGATTAGTATTAATCCCTTTCTCTCGGAAACAACCCTTCCAGAAATGGAATATACATACAAAATGAGAAAACTCTGTTCTATACAAGATTGCCAGCTGACAGAGCAGGAATAACAAATCTGAAAATTCATGATTTTGCAGCTTGACAAAATAACGAATTGAATCAAGGACCACAAACAGGGGGACGCTTGGGTTGCTCAGTCAGTTAAGCCGCTGTCTTCGGCTCAGGTCATGATCCCAGAGTCCTGGGATCGAGTCCCACATCCCGCTCCCCACTCAGCGGGGAGCCTGCTTCTCCCTCTGCCGGCCGCTCTGCCTGCTTGTGCTGTCTCTCTCTCCCTCTGACAAACAAATAAATAAATATAATCTTTAAAAAAAAAAAAGAAAAAGAAAAAGGACCACAAATGGGTGAAGTCACTGGGCAAAGGAGTGGGGGAAAAGCACATTCTCACAGTTTCAAAGAATCACCACATGATTGCTTATTAATGACGAAAGAAACAATGGAGACATCTGGCAGCCACCAACTTAATCAAATGCTCAATCCCAGCAACACCAACAGCCAGACAACCGACCTGTGCCTTCTCGCTGATGCATTTTTAATGAATGTTTCACATGAATCTAATAACAAGGAGACTTTCAGATAAATCCTGAATGCAGCTCACGTACAAAAGTTGATTTCACAAAAATAAAAAATGGTATTGTTCTAGATTAAACAGACACCTAAATGAATCATTAGAATTGGCTCTTGGGTTTTAAAAACACTATAAAACCTGGTTGGGCTCCAAATACAGCTTACTGTTACACCGTCCTGGACATGGTAACTTTCAAATTATATATATATATTTCATCAAAAAATGGACTTAAAATTTAAAGTGTTAAATTTTACTGTTCTTAATAGAAATAAAAAAGTCAAAGGAAGTGATGATCATTAGCCAGAAATAAAAGTTTGGTATTGCAACAGTTAATTTTATGTGAAAACTTGAATGGATCATGGGGTGCCTAGATAGTTGATCAAACACTATTCTGAGGGTTTCTGTGAGGGTGTTTGGGGATGAGAAGAACATTTATATCAGTGGACTGAGTAAAACAGATGCCCTCTAAAATGTAGGTGGGCTTCGTCTAATCAGTCGAAGGTCACAATAGAACAAAAAGGCTGACTCTTCCCCAAGTAAGAGAATTCTCCCTGCTTGACCGCCTTCACACAGGCCACTGGCTTTTTTCTGGCCTCCAGACTCAAATGGAAACATTGGCTCTTCCTGGATCTCAAGCCTGCTGGCCTTCCTACTTCCTACAATAACTGTGCCACTGGATCCCCCGGTTCTCAGGCCTTTGGACTCAGAACGGAACTAAACCATCGGCTCTCCTGGGTCACCAGCTCACTGACTCACCCTACAGATCTTGGGGATTTGCCAGTCTCTGTAATTTCATAAGCCAATTCCTTATAATTAATCTGTCTCTATGTGTCTATGTCTATGTATTTCCTATTGGTTCTACTTCTCTGGAGAACTCGAATACAGATATATAACACAGGTTGCTAACTTAGTGGTGGTCATTTCTATGACAGGATTAAACACACCAAACACAATATATAATAAATAGTATAATAAATGACCCTCCCAGCCTACTTTCATATCTTATGCATTAGATCATTCAAGATCTATTGATTCTGCCTAAATAGCTCTCAAATCTATTCTCTCCTCTTGATCCCCCTTGCCACCATCTCCTCCGATCCAGACTACTGTGACTGATCTTTCTGACTCACCAATCTATTTCCCACACTGCAAACAGTGATATTTCTAAAGAGGAGAAAGGACTGTATCTCTGCTGTGCATTTACTGCATTACGTAATTTATCACTACTCTTAGTAGCAAGTGAAAGACATCTAATATGGCTTAAAATTTTATGATCTGATGAACTTTCAGTTCCTCAAATTCACGATACTCTCTCCTCTTCCTGGGTCCTTCCACATCACTCTTCAAGTCCCCAACTTTTTTTCTCATTAGTGCCCATATACCCTTCATGTCTCAGCATAATAAAACAATAAGGCAACACAACTGTTTTATGTACTTTGAGTATTAATGCATTTAATCTTCACACAACTGTATCAAGACACAGCTGTCGGGACGCCTGGGTGGCTCAGTAGGTTGAGCCGCTGCCTTCGGCTCAGGTCACGATTCCAGGGTCCTGGGATCGAGTCCCGCCCGCATCTGGCTCCTTGCTGGGCAGGGAGCCTGCTTCTCTCTCTGCCTTTGCCTGCTTGTGTGCTAGTGCGCGCCCACACGCTCTCTCTGACAAATAAATAAAATCTTAAAAAAAAAAAAAAAAAGACACAGGTGCCAACGTCATTGCACAGGGGATACTGAGACATGGAGCGTTTAATAACTTACACAAGAACCCAAAGCTCAACCTCATATCTTTCCTCCAAGAGCTCTTAAACCCTTGGAATTAACTTTGCCTCCTCTCTCTCTCTCTCTCTCTCTCTCTCTCTCTCTCATAATCCACATCTGATCCAACAGCAACGCCTGCTGGCTCCACCTTCCAGGTAGACCATTAATCTGACAGCGACTAACCACGTCTACAGTAATACAAGTTCAAGGCATCCTCATCTCCTACTGAAGTACCGGTAATAGTTTCACTGATTCCGTTCTTGCGGCCCTAGGGTCTAACCTTATCGTGAGTTCCCAGCTATAGATGCCTTAAAGCCTAAGTCAGAACATGTTTTCCCTCTGCTTAAAATCCTCCAAAAATTCTTCACACCGAGAAACGACCAAATGACTTACACAACACAACGCCCACTTCTACGCACAACCTCTCTATACCCTCCTCTCCACACCCTGCCCCGCTCACTGCGTCGGGTCTACATTCCCGGTCTCCGTGCAGCACACCCCTCGAGAAAGCCAAGCAAGCTTGGAGGCCTTTGCACATGCTGCTCCCCTCGGCCTGAAAGCGCGTGCCCCCAAAGGCCACACAGGTCTTTTCACGTCCTTCAGGTTTCTGCTCAAGCACTACCTCTAAGGTTTACCTTCAACACGTGTTTAAAACTGCGTTCAATGGACGAAACAAGTGCTGCTTAAGTTGTGCCTCGGAAGCCGATCCGCAGCTTCAAGACGCCCCAGGCCCCCGCCTCCCGCCCCCCTCCCCGGCCTGCGGGCACTCTGTCGCAGAAGGCTCCTCTGCACCCAGGGAACAAGCTGCTTCCCAGCCCGGGGCTGCAAGACTTTCCCAGTCGCAGCGCAGTCACCACACACCCAGCACCCACCCGCAGGGGCAGCCGGTGGGGATCCGGCAAGGTCCGCGGTCCTCACCCTGCACCAAGGCCCGCTCCCCCGCTCACCGTCGCCTCCGCTCTAGGCATGCGGGAGGACCACGGCTCGATGGTGTCCTGCTTCCGGCGCAGGTGCGTGCGCAGGCGGTTCTCCACCGCGAAGTTTATTTTATTAGAGTGAAAACGGGCCAGTTCGGTTTCGTGTTACCGCGAAGAACTGGCATTTCTACTTTGCTCATTCACAGATTAAATACAGACACATACTTTTCCATTTCTCCCCAATTTAAAAAGTCGTTAAACACAATGACAACACTGTCAATTTATTGCTTTTTAAAAATTTCTTCATAGTATCAAGAATTGAATATTAAATTGAACAATGAAACTATGTTTGGATCGAAAGATTTAAGGTAATGAAAATTAAGTATATTACTATAAAAGTATAATCAGGGGAGCCTGGGTGGCTCAGTGGGTTAAGCCTCTGCCTTCGGCTCAGGTCATGATCCCGGGGTCCTGGGATCAAGCCTCGCATCGGGCTCTCTGTTCTGCAGGAAGCCGGCTTCCTCCTCCTCTCTCTCTCTCTCTTTCTGCCTGCCTCTCTGCCTACTTGTGATATCTCTGTGTCAAATAAATAAATAAAATCTTTTAAAAAAAAAAAGTATAATCAGCCATACTTTACAGTGAATGTAGTTTTTAGGGGGAAAAAAGTGTCAAGATATCACTTTACCAAAATAATTCTACAGAAGAAAAGAGAAATATCCCCTCTTGTTCATTCTACCAAAAAGTGTTTTTTATGGTCTTTAAGTAAAATAAATCCTTTAAAAAAATCTAAGCAAACTAATGTTTAATTAGTTGAGAGTTTTGAAAAATCATTAAATATATGAATTGTTTTATGACAGGTAATTTATTCAGTGTTTTCAGCATTGAAATTATCACAACAAAAGAAAAAAACACGTTTCATTAGGACAAGCAGAGTTAACCTTTCTCCTTGGCTGCCAGAAGCTTGGAAGTATCTTTCAGAAGTAGCAATTAAATAAATTGACCTTAGAACTTCCTTAGGCAAACAAATGTAGTCAACGCAAATACTTTACTAATTAGAAGTTAACATTTTTTTCTTGCACAGAAAACTCATATGTCTGATTTTTTTCTTTCTAAAGAAGGGCTTATATATTTTTAAAAAATTATGTGAAGGATAAATAAAATTTAAAAAGGAAATAAATATA